ACTGTCCCACACTAAGTAGACATAACATCTATTAGTAATAGTGAGAGTCTATCTATAAGATAGAAGAAAATGCACTGTATGATGATCCTGAAGTATACTAATTACAACGAGATTGAGTAATCGTAAAAATACTGTTATCAGATATTGGTTGAACATCTACGTCATGATAATACCTACCAGGAGCCTGATCGTAACAATGACATTCTCAAATGACGATCTATTTTGTTTCAGAGATGCTCAATTGGGTTAAAATCAGGTGATTGGGCAGGCCAATCGAGCAAACAGATATCATTATCATCAAATCATTCGTATGTAGATTTTGCCGTGTGTTTTAAATCATTGTCTTGTTGAAAGACAACATCATTTTTATTAATTTTTATATTACTGGATTGTTCCTAAAAGATCATCATTTAAGATTTCGTAATATAAATTCTTATCCATATGATCATAAATGTGTACGATATTACCAACGCCGAAAAATCTGAAGCAACCCCAAACCATTATATTTCCACTCACAAATTTTACTATAGATTTTACGTGATGCTCTTTCAAAGGTTCATCATCACGTTTCCAGTAATATTCATGTCTGTCTGAATTAAAAATCATAAATTTTGATTCATCCAACCAGATGACTTTGCTCCAATCGTTAATAGTCCAATGATGATATTTTTTCGCAAATTTTAAACGTTGAATTCGATGTGTTTTTTTGAGATATGATTTTTTTCGCTTAATTCGTGAAGAAAGATCATTACGATGTAAAGTTCACTTTATTGTGCTTGTGCTGACATCAATTTTATCATTAGTTTTTAATTTTTTTTGGATAAATGTTGCAGTGGAAAAACTACTATTCGAAATTAAACGTATAATATTTCATTCATTATGTTCAGTAAAAATTCTAGGATGATCTGGTTTTGGTAAATCTTTAAAGGTATTATGAGTATCTTTTTTTTGCTTTATTCTTATAATGGAGGATTGGGAAATATTTGCACGATTTGCAATATAACGGGAAGAATATCCTTCTTTAAGAAGGGTATAAATTTGGGATCTTTTTTTAACAGGAATATGTATCATAATAATTTTAATTATACGAGATAAAAGAGTGAATTCATAAGTGTATTTTATTTATAGGAGGTGTGTTTTGTTTTGTTGTGTGTTTTTTATCGATTTATATATTTGTTTTGAGGGGGAAACAATCAAAAGAAATGCATCATCAGTTTGGTGTAATAAAGTCCAAGTTAAGCAAAGTGGTGGTGTTACATTTATTCTTTAAATTGTATGTATTATTTATTTATGCTTTAACTATATATGAGCTAAGTTTCATTTACCTGTGACATCTATATTGCTAAAAATTCCACGATTCGTTTTTTCATCCTAGTGATGCATTACTTTTGAGCGCCGCTGTATTGATATATTTCCAGGATGCAGAATCACTTATCGTGAATTTTAAGCAGTCCATGAACAATGGAAAATTAATATATTTGTGTAAATTGCCATCTTTTACATAAGTCATTACTATCGAGTATCCATCTTCAGTTATTCCATAATCTATCATCAAGGTGTCGTCGTTAGTGTACTTTGGTGATTCGGGCTAAATAGTTTAGGACAATTAAGGAATTTAGGACGAACAAGGGTTAATTATCTGGCGTAATATAGCTTAATATCTAGACCTTGGGCGAAATATCAAATAGTTTGGGGGCACTTAAGGACTTGCATATTATGCAAAAAAAAATCGCAAGAAAAAATAAAATAATTGGGTTGGACTTAATAATTTAGCCCGAATTTTTCTATTTTGGAAAAAATTTTGTATTAGAAACAAAAAACGTCACACTTACACTTTAAAAATGGTTTATTTTTACCTTGTTTATAATCTCTAATGTTTGAATCATGACAAAATATATCTCTCTTTAATTTATCGGGTTTCTCTTTTGTTTCGAAATTATTATTTATCTCTTTACAAAAAATTTAAAAAAGTGATGAAATGAAAGTAAGTCTATTGCACAAATTCTTTTCTTTGTAATGCTTTCGGATGCTCCGTTACATAAATCTGGTTGTGATCACTATCGCTATATTATATGTATATACATGTACGTACTGCACATGTAAAAACTGGTAACACGTAATATTTTGGCTTATTACCGTTACACGTCGCGCTCGTTAAACCAGACATGTTGGGCTAAAACTTTTGTCCAGCTTAGCAGGAGATCCAGTTTAACGAGAGATCATGTTTAATCAAATATTTTTTGTTCTGGAATATTTATCCGGTTTTAACGAGATACAAATTATCGTTACGTACGTATTACCTTCTAAAATAAGTGTATAAATTAATTTGTTACACCCAAATTAATTTAAAAATGAGTGTCACAATTGTACGATAGTAATCGCTCTTTATTGATTTACTTCTTTTAGACTAGATACATGTAGTTGACATCGATATAAATTAACTTTCAATTTTGATAACGATAATAATCCAATAAATCAATAAAACATAAAATCATGTTCTTATGCCCATTAATTTATTTATGTTTAATGTTCCGCATTTCAATAATAAATGCGTACCTGCCTGATTTAGCACAACCAGAGCCCGGAATATTTATCGACAACAAAATTATATTATTTGATAGTTATAACGCTGGCATTGGCAAGACCAATGCTTTTTCCTTGGATCTTTCTGTGAATTGGACCACATCAGAACCAGCATTCACCCAAATTGGTAATACACTAAATGGGTTGACGTTTCGCCGTACTGCTTTTAATGCGCTTAAAAAAAACAATCGTTCGTTAATATATGCTTTTGGCGGATTAATTGTGAGTACAAATGTAAAATGACTACTTTGCATTTTAATATTTTTTAATTAATTTGAAATATAATGAATAGCCGACCAATGCAAATAATTGGAATCGAGGAAATTTTTCAAACGACTTTTATAAAATTGATGTAACGTCTTATCCAATTTCAATTTCGCTTATATCCGGAAATACTAGACCAAGCGTGCGATGCGCTCTTAGTTCAATTTTTGATGAAAAAGGAAAACTTTATATCTGGGGTGGAAATACCGTTAACGTAGATCAAGACATGTTCATTACAGATCAAACAATGTACATATTTGACACATTTGATTCAACATGGAACCAAATTCTT